AATCCCTTGATTGCCAGTTTCATGCGGTGTCTAGTCGCATCGGTACGGGATTCCCTATGCCCCTCCTCTTTGGTGTAGTTTACGTTAGTTTCTCACAAGTTTCTCACACAGGAAGTGCTACTCAAACTGAGCTAAACCTGTCTTCTTCTTCCTTTCCGTTCTACCACCAATCTCTGTACTGGGGCATCTATTTTCCTACCCCGGTATCCGTTTTACTTGTTCCCGGCCGAACCCGCTCTTACCCCATCTCCTCTTCTTTTTTTCTTTTTCGGAAATGAGTGATGTTCAGAACGAGCTTTTCGGTCAGACTAGTTTGCAGTCCTAAATAAGTAAGGGGAAAATGGTCGATCGGGAAGCTTACCTTTCACTTCGACTAGCTTCAAGTAAGAACCATATTCAAATAAGTTACTGACCACTCTCGCTATCTCCCATCTACGGCGTAGCTACGGCAGGAGGAAGTGACAACGAACAGTACGCTTATGACTTCACTCGCTATACGCTTCAGACTAGGGTCTCCTTTGCGAAAGCAAATTGAGGTAGAACTACCCACTAAGCTCCTTCCTTGCTTAGCTTAGCAAACTACCTTGATTCTATTCTTGTCCGATTTTCCCTGGGAAACTCCTAATGAAATACCTTTTGTCTATCCGGACTGCCTTAGATGCGGATTGGCTTATCTCTTTGCACAGACCAACTTACACCTAGCCTCTTCAGAAGGCGGCTTCGGAACATCCACCTCTACACCCCACTACTATGATGGGTTCCACTTCATTATTTGTTGACCTCCACTCGTATCAGTCCGTCTTCGCCTAACTGGCTACACTTCAACCATCCTCACCTAATAGTTGTCATAAGTCAACAGTCTTTATAGGACTAGGCTTGCACCTCGGTATAACTAGAAAGGTTTATCTAATGCGAACTAGACCGAATTCCAGAAAAGAGCACTTGGGGATTGGTTAGCTTCTCTGGAAAAGAAGTTCGGGAATGGAGAAATCTCACAAGTCGAGGTAAGAAGAGTCTTTTGAATGGAAACCCCGGAAAGGTGGAAACTATGCTTTCATGCCCGCTTTTCTCTCTGCTTTCGGGTATGAATCCCTTCTTTTATCTCATTTAGCAGCTACCTTCCCGCTTAGAGTTGGATCTTAGAAACTGGGGTAGGATTTGAAAGTACTTCGTAGCTAGCATTCCTTCTGATCTAAGCCTTTGAGCTGCTTTCCCTATCTCTTCTCCATGGATCACTGAACATGACTTCTATATATACACAATTTTTTGCACTTCTGAAAAGTCTCATTCCCCAGCGAATATCCATAGAAGGAGAGCAACTGACCAGCTTAAAATAGGTAAAGAAAGAATCCTAATTCCAACACCTAGTCTCGGTCGGTAGGGAAGGACAAACTCGAATGAACTCGGCTAATTGGTTGTTAAGAAAGATCTTAGGGGCAGACAATAAGAGCTTAGAGTGGACGCTCTGAGGGCTTAAACTCCGGAATTCGAAACCCTCAGAGAAATGCAAAAGCAAGAAATGTCACCAAAGCTCATATTGGAATTGGCTTTCCATGGTAGTGCCTTTAATGACGCGCCTTTAAGCTAGGGACATCTTGAGTTGGCTCATTGCTTGGCTGAAGGGAGTGTCAATGCTGACATTCAATGGGTTGATAGGGACTCCACCTCTTCCTCTTTCCTCTTGACCGAATCTGTAACCTTCATTAGCAGATTCATTTTCTGTGGTTTCCCTGATCAAACTAGAAGTTACCAAGGAACCATGCATAGCACTGAATAGGGAACCGCCGAATACACCAGCTACGCCTAACATGTGAAATGGGTGCATAAGGATGTTGTGCTCAGCCTGGAATACAATCATAAAGTTGAAAGTACCATAAATCCCTAGAGGCATACCATCCGAAAAACTTCCTTGACCAATCGGGTAGATCAAGAAAACAACGATGGCAGCTGCAACAGGAGCTGAATATGCAACAGCAATCCAAGGTCGCATACCCAGACGGAAACTAAGCTCCCACTCACGGCCCATGTAACAAGCTACACCAAGTAAGAAGTGTAGAACAATTAGTTCATAAGGACCACCGTTGTATAACCATTCATCAACGGATGCTGCTTCCCAGATCGGGTAAAAGTGCAAACCGATAGCTGCAGAAGTAGGAATAATGGCACCTGAGATAATATTGTTTCCGTAAAGTAGAGATCCAGAAACAGGTTCACGAATACCATCAATATCTACTGGAGGAGCAGCAATGAAGGCAATAATAAATACAGAAGTTGCGGTCAATAAGGTAGGGATCATCAAAACACCAAACCATCCAATGTAAAGGCGGTTTTCGGTGCTGGTTATCCAATTGCAGAAGCGACCCCATAGGCTTTCGCTTTCGCGTCTCTCTAAAATTGCAGTCATGGTAAAATCTTGGTTTATTTAATTATCAAGGACTCCCAAGCACACGAATTTTCTATACTAAAAATGAAAATAGAAAATGGAAGGCTTGTTATTCAACAGTATAACATGACTTATATGTTCGTGTCAACCAATCCATAGAATTTCGAAATGACAGTGGGTTGCCCGGGATTCGAACCCGGAGCTAGTCGGGTGGAGTAGATAATTTCTTTGTTATGTTAGTTAAATAAAGAAAAACCCCTCCCCAAGCCATGCTTGCATTTTTCATTGCACACAGCTTTCCCTATGTGGACACCATTTTCTTTCTTATAAATATTTTTCAAAAAGTTGAATACTCAGTTGATTTAACCCTTAATTCCCAAACTACATCAACATTTCAGAAGAGTGGAAATCCCATTTTGATTTGGGATTGACCAAAAAATATCCAAAAACCAAATCCGACTTCTATAGATTCTTCGCAAAATTGAAGAAGCTTTTGGGAAGGCCAAAAAAAGAACGTCTTCGTCCGTCCTAAGAAATTCTTCCAATAATTCCGAGCCTATGTCTTTTCAAGAAGCTAGAAAAGACAAGAAGTGGATTGAAGCCATGGATGAAGAGATTCGAGCCATTGAAAAGAATGACACATGGGAGCTAGTACCACGACCACTTAATCAGCAAATCATTGGTGTCAAGTGGGTGTATAAGGCAAAGAAGAATGACAAGGGAGAAGTTGAGAGGTACAAAGCCCGGTTGGTAGCGAAAGGCTATAAGCAAAAACATGGAGTTGATTATGAGGAAGTGTTTGCTCCGGTGGCCCGATTGGAGACAATTCGGCTACTAATCTCACTCTCGGCGCAAAATCATTGGAAGATACAAAAATTGGATGTTAAGTCCGCTTTTCTCAATGGATACCTTAAGGAGGATGTGTATATTGAGCAACCACTCGGTTATGTTGTTCAAGATCATGAAGATAAAGTTTTGAAGTTGAAGAGGGCACTCTATGGGCTCAAGCAAGCCCCTCGAGCATGGAATAGTCGTCTTGACAAATATCTGCAAGATGATGGATTTTCAAGATGCCAAAGTGAGTATGCACTTTATGGGAAGGTGGAAGATGGACACGTGCTATTTGTTTGTGTCTACGTGGATGATCTCATCTTCACCGGAAGCAATCCGAGGATGGTTGAAGATTTCAAGAAGTCCATGGCTCAAGAATTTGAAATGAGTGACATGGGATTGATGTCGTATTATTTGGGAATTCAAGTAAATCAAATGGAGGAAGGAATTTGCATCTCTCAAGAAAGCTATGCAAAGGATGTGCTAAAGAAGTTCAACATGCTTGGAAGCAAACCGGTGAGCACGCCGATGGAGCATGGAGCAAAGTTGTCCAAAACTAAGGAGAATGAAGACCGTGTTGATTCCACCACATTCAAAAGTCTTGTTGGAAGTCTAAGGTACTTGACTTGCACTAGACCAGATATTTGATTTTCGGTTGGAATTGTGAGTCGTTACATGGAAGTTCCTAGCCAAGCACATTGGATGGCGGCAAAGAGGATACTTCGATATATCAAAGGTACCCTTCGTTTTGGCTTGTTTTATTCATCTTCCAATACTTCCAAGTTGATGGGATATTGTGATAGCGATTATGGTGGAGATATTGACGATAGAAAAAGCACTACGGGATTTGTATTTTTCATGGGATAAAATCACATACATCAATTACTTACCCTTTAGAGAATGTTGATAACCAACACAAAAAAGTGACCCTTTAGAGAATGTTGCTAACCAACACAAAAAAGTGACCCTTTAGAGAATGTTGCTAACCAACACAAAAAAGTGACCCTTTAGAGAATGTTCAAGTAGTTGCGCAGAGAACACAAATTTTAGAACCTTTAGACAATGTTGAAGTAGTTGGTCAGAGAAAGATAGTACGAAACACAACACACAAGCTTAAGTAGTTGGTCAGAGAAAGAAAGAACACAAACAAAGACAAACCATAGAGAGAGATAGTAGAAAAGACAACCCTTTAAGTAGTTGGGCAGACAAAGAACACAAACAATTGCTTAGATAGTTGGTCAGAAATAGAGAGAAAAAGCAGGTACAGAGATGATAGGTAGGGAAAAGAAGACAGATGCAGGAGGGAAACACACACAGGAGAGAGAGCGATAAACAGAAAGAGACCCAACACAAACAAAGGAAAGAAAGACAACAAAACCAGAAACCTAGAGATACAACCGAATGGATGCTGCAATTCATATGGGGCCCCATATATGTCCTACTTTGTCGATTCTTGATTCCTATCGCCGGTTTCTATTTTCTTTGTCGGGATTAGGTTGTGCTCAACCCCCTCCGAGGGGAGACCCAATTGTGACCTCTACTTCTGAGGGAAAAAGTTGTCGAAAAAGAAAACCACCATGAACATGTTTGATCTACGCGGGTTAGCACTCCCCCAAAGCAGTCTAGGGCAGCCCAACCCCTCAAGTTGGCATAATTCTTATTTGTCCGATGTTCCTCGTTTAATTGATTTCAAGTCCGATGTTTCCCGATTCAGTGATTGTCAGTCCGATGTACCTAGTTTTATGCATTCCCAGTTCGATGTTCCTCGTTTTTTGCATTCCCAGTCCCGTAGTTTGCTTTTGGCTTATCAGTTTGGTAGTCATAATCTGATCAATAGACATGAATGGTGCTATCCCATGAAAAGAATAGGGATAATGAATCGATATGAAAATCGAAATATGAGACAATTGAATGTTCATACAAGAAAGTTCCACATTGGTGACTCGTTTTGGGATCGATTTCTAAATGAACTAGAAGCTCTTACCGTCAGTAAAGAATCAAAGCCTATCGAAAGAGTAGTCAAACTCCTGGTGGATTTCGAGAAAACCGGTCATATAGATTATATTATGCTAGAGCATGAGATTGAGGATGTGTCCCTATTCCCTAAGGAAGGAAATACCTACAAGGCTGTTGCCCGCTTAATGAAGATGGTATTCAACATGGAAGAACCTCCTAAGTTATACATGCATAAGAAGTTACCTAGTGTTATGTATGACCGGTATATATCTCCCCTCGGTGTGCACACGCTGGAAGCTATTATTTTGGTGGTGCTGGGGTTAGCATTCAGTGGTATTAAAGTCAGAACAATGGTAAGAGCAGCAACCTTCATTGAGTTGTTGGATACAACAATTCGAACGCAAGTTTCTAGACTTCAAAAGAATCCTTTGGATAATAAGCCTGATACTTCCACCCTTAAAGAGAGGATGTTAGGGGAAACCCTGCTCAGTTATATAACAAAACATGGTATACTTCACTATGAGCTAACTCACGAGGGAACTGCAGTAGTTAAAGAGAAAGGTAAGGGTTATGTCAAGACAAGGCTAAACCTAGTTTGTAACTTCGAGATAAGTGAACTCCCAGCTATGCTCAATCTTCCAATGGTTTGCAAGCCGGTGGATTGGCACATCCCAGATGGGCGCACATCGTCTTCGGGCACTATTCGTGTATCTGACCTTCAAGGCGGTTACTTAAACCAACCTAACATGGAAGTGTATAATCGCATTAGTCTTATGTCATCCAAAAACCTCGTGAATTTCAACATTGAATTAAAGAGAGAGAAATGTGATGAAACGTTGACCTTATTGAATGGGCTTCAGGGCCAAGCATTTCAGATTAATAAAAAGTTGTTGAACTTTATCAAGGGGAATCGTCCTGCCCTAGAAAAGGAAGGACTGCTTATGCCCGAGCTACTTGCTAGGGTCAACCCTAAAAAAGCATTGGATCTGATGAGATCCTTCTATTTTCAGAATCTAGAGGGGATACAGGAAAAGAATAGCCTTGAAAGCCTCTTGATGGAAGTATCTGTTAAGATACAACAAGCCTTTACTGAGGGTTTAATACTGCAGGTTGCTTCTGCCTACGAAGGATATGATTTCTATCTTCCTGCCTTTTTGGATTTCCGTGGTAGAATCTACCGTTCGGGTATATTGCATTTCCACGAGCGTGATTTAGCTAAAAGCCTGCTCTTGTTTTCTCAAACAGGCCGGGTGTTTAATAACACATCCTTTCCGGAAAGTCGGGATATAATAGAAACATCCACCGCTTTTAAATATCAAAAATTCATGAATTATGAGGAGGCTCTGAAATGGTATAAAAATAAGAAATCTTATCTCTCGAACTCGTATGAGAATATAATAAGCACAGCAAAAGATGCGAGCGATCCGTTTCAGTTCATGGCGAAAATCCTCCTTAATGAGTATGATGATAAAGATGAATCAAATAGGGTTACGCCTATAAGTCAGGATGCATCTTCCAGTGCTTATCAAATAATGAGTTACTTTTTGCTTAACTACGAAATGGCAAGGAGTACAAACCTCTTATCCAGCAATGATAACAAGATCAAAGATCTGTATACCCTCATGCTTGAGGAAATCAAGTCCTTTTTAAGGGAGAAAATTGATGATAAAAACATCTTGAACATCATACTGATAGCTATGAATAGAAAACTAGTCAAACAACTATTCATGCCCATGGTCTATGGGAAGACACTCAAAAGTATGGAACAGGATATTAGCGAGCATTATGGGGCTTACCTTAGCAGGCGGGATTCATCTTCTCTTGCGAGACTTGTTAAAGAGTTCTTTATCTATAAGTATCCCGATATTGATAACTTTTTGAAGTTGATTGCCACCGTCGGTTGGTTATGTTCGACTATGGGTAGAGCTGTAGTCTATAGCACTCCCTTTTTCTCAACAAAACAAGATTATATGTCTTTCGATAAAGAAAAGATAACGGTCACAGATAGGAAGACCCGAAAGAAAAGAACCATCACTGTGAATATACCAACCACAAAGAGGGATAAGCGAAAGACAAACACCTCAACGTGCGCAAACTTCATCCATCAAAAAGATGCGTACATAGCCATGAAAATGATTGAAGCCGTTGTAATAAGAAATATTGATCCTATCTACACTGTTCATGATAACTTTATCACTATACCGCTTTTAGCAAAAGAAATACCGAATTTATATCTATCCATCTTTGAGCAGATGAAGCATCCACTTTCAATAGTGAATGAATTTCTCATAACGAATTTAGTGAACCCTTATTACGAGAAAACAAGAGAA